CTGTCGTTTTGCTCCCTAGCATGGCTTCCTAAAAACGCTGCTGGATTTCTCAAACATGCAAGAATAAGTCAGAGGAAGCCTTTGGGCATGTTTTTTATGAGAGTATAACATTATAACATGATATAAAACTCAAAAAAGTTGATTTTACATGATATTGCACCTTTTAAAATATTCGTGATATTTGAAGCAGAGAGGAGCACCAAGCGGACTGACTGGAGAAAACTCCAGTCAGTCCACCTGGTGGCATTAATCATATTAATAGTCAAGTGCCAAATAAGAATCGATTAATGTTTTTCTGACAATTATTTGCACACAATACGATTATGCCCAACCCTAATTAGGTCTCTACAAAGCTAACATATACAATCATTATGGAGACTAATCAGTGCCAATCACATTCATACACCGATGGGACACACATCAGAGGCATTAAGCTAGGTTTATGCTCGATGCGTCAAGGTGGGCGAGAGGATGCATGCGCTATAGGTGACGCAATATATGACGCGCATGGCCGTCCCCGCCCCTGCGCGTTGGCCCTTTGCAGTGTCCTGTCGCGAGGTCGTGCACCTTCGGATTTTTCGAACTCTGCAAGGACTGCGCGCGCCGTGGACATCAACAAACAAGATGGACGTGTGCAAGAAGATGTTAAAATGTTGGAAGGACCCTCAATTAAAGCTAAAGTTAGTGGGGGAATTGGCATAAAAACTTAGATTTAAACTTAGATCTGTACATTACACTTCTTACGTGTTAATAAAAGGCAAGAGGTGGAAAGTCATTACTTTTATTTCATCTTTCTTGTTTTCATTCCAGCTTATTATAAAAAATAAATACTGTCCATATAAATTCTGCTTCCTAGATAGGGTGAATTTGGCAAAGTACTTGTGCTTTTACTCCAATACATGTATACCCAAAAACATAAAAAAGGAATTTTGAAGTCTGTAAAATTCCACTGACAAATTGAGATTAAACACATCCAGATAGGTGGCGGCAGCATCAAATACTTCCATTGCAATGAACGAACACACCATCTCCTTCACCTCGTCGTCTCAATAAAAGCAATAGATATATTTGTTTCTCTATTATATTACGTTCCTCAACAGTTCTTCTCGTGACCGAGCCACCATCTTTTCTATTGTGTGACGTCAAAGATTTCTTCTTCCACACCCGTTTTTCACAACCGAAATGCTGGTTAGATTAGGGGTGTAAGAAAATATCGATACACAAATATCGCGATATTTCATTTCCCGATACTGTATCGATATTCTAAAGCCCTGTATCGTTTTTTTTATTTAGGTTTAAAGTGTCAACTTTCCTTCCAGCCATTCATTTTTATGTTGTAGTTCAGYCTCTGACCACTAGTTGGCAGCAGTGAGCCAGCCATTTGGCTCCTCCACAGCTTGAGCGCCAGAGAGTAAGAGAGCATTAGCATTGTGAGTAAACATTAGCTTCATGCTCCGATAGCTGAATCTGAGCGGAAAAGACCGACACCCTCTGCCTTCTAAGCTGAGGTAAGGTTACAAACAGTTACTTATTTGTCAGAATGTCTGTATTTTAAGACAAATGAAGTGTTTTGTGCGCTCTTTTTTCCAACTGTAGTCAGCTTTCACGTTATGCATATAGCGCATGCGTCTTTCACCTCGAGCGAGCTCGGCACTCCCCCCGTGAYATAAAACTCTGTCTGTTGCTCTCAATATCCGGCTCATCGCATCAAAGTCCATATACTTTATCCTGCTGTGTTCGCTTCAAAAATGGTTTAACTCGTTTAGCTTCTCAATTTCTTAACTGGCTTTCTTCGGGACCTGCCCTGCTGTTCGACCCACAGTTATACAAATCATGTTCTGGATGCAGGTCAGCTGATCCCAGAAACTCTGTGTGCAGCAGCTTCATATCATCTGTTTACTGAACTTTATGACAACATAAAGGCTATTGTTAAGTGTTGGGTGATGATATTGTAAATCAATATAAAAAACGAAAAGCTGCAAAAACTATATTTTCAAACTATTTATTGGCAAATTTAGTCTAACAATTGAAAACATGGATGAAATATGAAACAAATAAAATAAAACACATTACAAAGCAGAACACAGCTAAATGTATCAAAAGTATGTCTATGTAATATTAGAATTTTCTGAGACAGTGAATTTTGGTTTTTCGTTTTGCTTTTTGTTTTTTTCCCAGTAAGAAGTTTTTTATTTAATAGAATTTTTGGACCAAAAAAATCGCAATATATCGCCTTGTTTACAGTTTTGAAATATATCGGGATATATCGTATCGTGACCTCTCTGTCATGATATGTATCGTATCGCCAAATTCTTGCCAATACACAGCCCTAGGTTAGACAGTGTACTGCCACCTGTTGGTCATAGAAGAGCAGCACTTCGATGCACGTCAACTATAATTTGAGAAGCCGCACGGCTGAATGCGCGCCCACTTTGCGCGCGTTCCAATGAGCGACTATAACTCAACCTTTAGGGGTGAAGTGTCTTGCCCAAGGACACAACAACTAAGAGAGCTGGACGGGGGATCGAACCGGTGACCTTCCTATTCCAGGACGACTCCCCTAACAACTCTGCCACAGCCGCCCCAACAAAAACTACAACAGATAAAAGGAAAGCCTGATTTTACCCAATAAGGAGGCAAATTTACCATAGAGCTGCAATAATAGGTCAAATAATTTAGTCATTTATCAAAAGTTGTCTCAAAGGCATTTTTAAGGCTAAATATCTTTTTTTCCCAAGTGAGCCAAAAATCTAAAAATAATTAGGTGTTTTACCTAAAAGGTAAAACAAGGTTTGTGGTAATGAGATAAATGCCATCTTTTCAATTTTGTCTGGCTTGAATACACTGTAAAAATAGTTTTACCAAAAAAAACACTGAATGTTAAATATTTAGTGGAATTGATCAGAACCTTCAGTTCTTTTTGTCAGTGTGTTTAAGTAATGAAATGCAGTATGCACTTTTGGTTATGAGACAATTGGTAATGCTGGTGCTAAAACATTTTGTTCAGTGCTACAAAACCAGCAGCTAAAGAGGTTAACGTACAGACCTGAAGCATGTAAACAACACCAGCTGTAATTGTTTATTCACCAGTATCAGAGGTGGAAAACTTTTCATTTTTTTTTCTTAACCGACTGCATTTTTTCATCTGATAATCAGATGTCATATGTTATATATCTCTGTGTGTAGCCATATTACGGTAATATTTCTGTATAAACATATCAAAATATAGTTTGTCCAGTACACAATTTTTTTAAATATTTTATCAAATTTCAAACATTTTTATTTTGGGCAGGTAACATTTGGTGTCACTTCCAATAAACAAACTTTTTGAATCCCGGAGTAGCAGGAAACTGTTATTTAAACAGTATTCATTTTTTGCTAATCCGATTCAGTAACATTTAAAATTCAAGGTATTTTGTGTATTTTTGGAAAATTGAACACTTTGGTAATATTTATTCAAAACCCACCTGTTTTTTATTAATTAATAACTGTGATATTTTTAAAGAAACAAGCTATAAGACCTTCAAATTATACCCTCTTTGTACAGATGACTATGACTGGTTTTTTGCACACTGAGGGGGCATTATTACAGCTGTTAGCTTCACTACTCAATGATGATGCTATTTTTAGCACATGCTCTGCAGGCGAAGTCGCTTTAAATAAACGAACGTTAGCCTGGTGGCCTGCCAGCCTAACAATATGTATACTAGAGGAAACCCTGCTACATTCTCTTGTCTTTTATCTCAAAGTGATAATAGTGTTTTAATGTAAGAACTGGAGCATGAAAAAGACAGTTTTGCACCCTTACTTCAGTACATGCAGCTGCTCCATTGAGGATTCCAGTAAACAGTTCAGTAGAACTCTTAGCCAAACACAAATAAAAAGGCAAATATTGCCAAGGACGGCTGTTTTAATTACACTATATTTCCAAAAGTATTTGCTCACCCATCCATATTATTGGAATCAAGTGTTCAAATCACTTCCATGGCCACAGGCGTATAAAATTAAGTATCTAGGCATGCAGACTGTTTTTACAAACGTTTGTGAAAGATTGGGTCACTCTCAGGAGCTCAGTGAATTCTAGTGTGGAACTGTGATAGGAAGCTGTGCAACAAATCCAGTCGTGAAATTTCCTCGCTCCTAAATACTTCACAGTCAACTGTCAGCTGTATTATGAGAAAATGGAACAACAGCAACTCAGCCACGAAGTGGTAGGCCACATTAACTGATGGAGCAGGGTCAGCAGAGGCTGAAGGGCAGAGTGCAAAGAGGTCACCAACTTTCAGCAGAGTCAATCACTACAGACCTCCAACCTTCATGTGACCTTCAGATTAGCTCAAGAACTGTGTTCAGAGAGCTTCATGGAATGGGTTTCCATCGTCGAGCAGCTGCATCCAATCCATACATTACCAAGTGCAATGCGAAGCGTCAGATGCAATGGTGTAAAGCATGCAGACACTGGACTGGAGGTGTGTTCTCTGGAGTGAYGAATAACAGTTCTCCATCTGGCAATCTGATGGAAGAGTCTGGCTTTGACGGTTGTCAGGAGAATGGTACTTATCTGACTGCAGTGTGCCAAGTGTAAAGTTTGTTGTAGCAGGGATTATGGTGTGGGGTTGTTTTTCAGGAGCTGRACTTGGCCCCTTAGTTCCAGTGARAGGAACTCTGAATGCTTCAGCATACCAAGACATTTCGGACACTTCCATGCTCCCAACTTTGTAGGAACAGTTTGGAGCTGGCCCCTTCCTCTTCCAACATGACTGTGCAGCAGAGCACAAAGCAAGGTCCATAAAGACATGGATGGCAGAGTCTGGTGTGGATGAACTTGTCTGGCCTGCACAGAGTCCTGATCTCAACCTGAAAGAAGGAGACCAATTACGGGTCCTAGAAATTTTTATGGTATGTCTGTGGGCTATCCAGACCATGTTCATTCAATTTAATGCAGAAAATAATTCTCAGATAATAAAATTTCCCATTTTCTAGTTCTGCCTGCTCTGACTTCCGTTCAGAACGAGCTGTTTATGTTAATGAGCTCTGTTGGTAACGCCCTCCAAAAATTTGTTGACATTAACTCTGCCCTCCAAAGCCAGCGTTTACCTTAGCATGGCTAATAATAGCAGAAGCTCCGTTGTACAACCATATATATGAGACCCTGAGTCAGACCTAGAGGCAGAGTTGGTCGCAGCTTTTTTTTTTCTCCCCCTCCTGTCATAGCTCTGCGCTCACTCTGCAAGCTGTTACCAGGGCAGGTAATGGGAGCAGCAGCGGTCAAAATACCTCAGGAACTCGAACGAATAGGCTAAACAATAAAAAGGCTAAACAATAGAGGTACATGAGAAAACTTGTTCATAACGAACGAAAATAAATAATTAAATTGTTGGTGTCTGTGTCAGTCTCGAACCCTGGTCTCCTGCTCTCTGGTCCAACACTCTACCCATTGCCCTAATGGAGGCTTGTTGTGAAATGAACTGCGCATTGCACAACAACAACCGTGACAGCTTTTTATACTGAGGAGGTGGAGCCTCACCCGGGGGTTGCTAGGTGAGGGGCTGAACGCAGGATGCGGTGGGTTGTCGTACGGATTGTGACATCACAAAATGTAGGAAGTATAAAACTTGTCATTAATATACATTAAAAATACATTTACTTACAGCAAATATGCGCCTGGGTGCATTTTTTTGGTCCTAGGACTGTTTTTTTAAGTACATACCCAAAGTTGAGTAAAAAAACTTTAAAAAATGAATTTTGCATAATAGGTCCCCTTTAAACTTATAAGTGAGTCAAGGCAGGTGAGCGAATACTTTTGGCAATATAGTGTACCTTTTAAACACTTTTTTTCCCCAGAAATACACAACAAACACCTCTGCTGCCTGTATGAGGTCAGTTCAGTTCTGTAGGAGGTCCTAGAGCTGGGCTCAGGACAGACTGTTCAGACCACCAGAGTAATGCAGATAATAAGTGTTCACATCTGAATACAATCAACTCACTCAAGTAGAACTCTGAGTCTGAACAGAGCCACCCCAGTATGAAGACTTAAAATGAGAAAAAATGTGAATTCAGTCTGAATTTTATTTGGGGAAACAGGAAATTTATTTTAGATTCTCATCAGACAAACTGTTTACATGTAAAATGTTTTTATAAAGAAGTGAAACAAAGCAGTTCATCTCTTGCTTCTAGTTATCCTTTAATTTTAAACTGTAAAGTTAATCAAGAAATTATAATCCTTTTTAAGTAGGATAAAGCCGTTTCCACAAAAACACAAACAAAATAGAATTTATTGAAATATTAACAAAACAAATTCTAYCCAGTTTATTTACATTGGGCCACGTTACAACAACCGTCTGAGGTCACTACAAAAACAATCAGTCTAAAGAAGACATTTACAGACTCATAATGTTAGAAATGATTTTAAAAGGAAAACCTTCAGTTTAATTCCAGCGCAGAGCAGAGACCTGTTGTCCACAGTCGGTCCGGTGCTGGGGGTGTTTGTCTCTAATGGAACCAAACGATTGTTCATGTGTATGTTTGCAGGTACACAGGCACCACCCCCAACCCCCCACCTGGCTCACACTACACCTCCCCCTCGGAGAACATGTGGAACACAGGGGCGGCCTACAGCATGAGTCAGGGGATGGCTGTATCAGGTGAACACACGCAGAACAGGAAAATATCAGCATGCATGATTTCCTGGACCTTACCTGGACAGAGTACTTTTTCAGAGACGTTACTATTTAAATATCTGGTGTCGTGTAACCAGCCTGACTGAGGTGATGAAAGAGAAAAGACCTGTGTGCTGTTCACCGACCATCTCACCAATCATCTGTTGTCAGCATCTTAACTGACTCTGAGGAGTCAAATCAGACAAACCGTTAAAAAGCAAAGTTCTCCTGTAGAGACACAGTTTATTTTCTAAAACTGTAAAACATGAGTGTAAACAGAAACAGAACTTGGTCTAAATTAAAAAAGTCAATGAACAAAAACAGAAACTGGACCTATAGAATGTTTTAATACCAGAGTCTTTTATAATTTCAGACCTATTTTATAAAACAAGATGATTATATATAAAAATAGACACTTTGTTCTGAAAATAATTCTCCATAAAACCATTTCATTTATTCACATAATCAGTTTAGGTGGAACGGTTCTTAATCTATGTTTCTCCAGTCGCATCGTTATTGTCAGCATAAATGTAAAGTGTGGAAAATCACACAGATTATCCAAAAATATCCAGACTGTATTATTTTCACACTTTCCAATGAATTGTATTGAATGTACAATTTCTTTCTGTTTCTTTGTTCAGAAATATGAGGCTCTGGTTACTGTTAGGACTGAGCTATGGGACCAGTAATCAGGAGATATTTTAAACAATATGTTTTTTAATCCTCTGTGGGATTAAAAAAAAAACAACTTTCATCTGTTCTGTCACACGGTCCAACACCAGGAAAGGCTTTTAATCAGTCCGACTCCAGAACAAATAGTAAGATGCAGTCTGACCCATCCTACCTTCACATTCAGGTACCGTTAGATGACAACAAACCAGCTAAACCTGTCCTCATAAACACAGTGTTACACACATGAGCTAATATTAAACTGTTAAATGACAAGAACAGCAGCTCAGGGAGCTTAATGAAACGGCCGGTGTTAAAGATTAATGACACAGCTCCAAATACACTTTAACAGGCTTCTATAAATAACTATAAAATAAAACTGTTGACATTTATCAGTTGATGTCAGTAAATAAGTCCATCCTCTGACCAGTAAGTCTTTAATAATTTCTTCTTCATAGACTGAGACTTTCTATCAGCAGTATGGTTTAATGTCTTCATGAGTGTAGATCATCGTGCAGCACACTCCAGCAGACAGTCCAGAGGTATTTAAGCAGCAGTGAGCTGACTGATCTGAACGCAGAGATCCCTCCTTGTTTAAAAGTTGAACCAGTTTCAGTAATTAGGCTGCGTTTTCTCAAAGTTAAACCAAACTTCTCACAGATGAAACGTCCAGCTCTGTTTTCCTTCAGAAACTCGTCCTTGGTTTAGGATCTTCGAACACTCGTTATCTTCTGTGTCCCTCGCTTCGAAAACAAAACTCTGACCTGACTGGAGATGGTTAGATGAGCAGGGAGGTGGGAGGAGGTGGGAGGAGGTGAAGGTCTGCCAGTGTTTTCAGGATCAGAGGGAATGTGACCTTTGATGTGTTTGAAGAAGCTGGAAAATAAGATGTGGGAAACGAAAACTATTTCTTAAATTGTGTATTTGATATTTGTGATGTAGACATTTTTGAGATTCCATGAGGGAATATGCAGCTCGGTGGTTAGCACTGATGCCTCACACCAAGAAGGTCCTGGGGTCGATCTCCAGTTGGGACCTGGGCTCTTTCTGTGTGGAGTTTGCATGTTCTCCTTGTGCTTGCGTCTCCAGTTACTCCGGTTTCCCACAAAGACCAAAAACATGAACAATATGTTGACTTTATAGGCCTCCTTTGTAAAAGAGATCTGTGGTCTCATTGTGATTAGCCTGGTTAAACAACGTTTAATAAAAATATTTTTGATCTATTGCCAGTCTCATCACTAGTGGACAGTGTTTCTGTACCTGTGCTAAAGCAYCTGATGCACACACCTGCAACTGAGACAGGTGAACATGTAAACTGTCCCGTCTCTATTCTGTGCATCACCTGCTCTTTCTTACTAATAATTCATGCAACAGAGGAACAATTTCCATTTGTATGAATCATTTATATAACATTTTGTCCATTTATCTATATTTTGTCGTGTGTGAACTAATCTTTACTATCATTGTGAAGAGTAATAATGTTTTTGTCTATCTGTGTTTGTCTGTAGTGTTAGACAATATCTCCTATAATGAATGAAAGGAATCATTGGGTTGACCTTTACAGCTGATTAACTTTTTGAGTCAAGATGGCTACCACAGCTAGACACAATGACTTTGACTCAGTTTTAAAGATATTGGGTTGGTAGTAGCTGACCGTCATTAGCCGTGTTTCCATCAAGGTTTTTTGATGTGCATTTTGAAGTATCGCATCAGAAAAGGCGGATGGAAACGGCTTGATTCGAAAAAACTTCTTCCATTCACAGCACGTACTCTGAGTGCAAGTGAGGTATCACTGTGTTGCATCAGATTAAGCTCCTGTTTGACTGTAAAGATCTATAACACTGTTCATGATCTACATCTAAAACTCTGGCATTAAAGGCAGCAACRTTCAGGAATGTTAGGCTTTTAATTTTCTTGTTTTCAGATTTTACCCTAAAACAGTTTGTTTGTTAAATCYTTTCTTAACCTTTTCTTTTTCACGTGTAATAATTGAAGTGGTTTTATTTATTGATGGTCACTCCATCGGACACCTCATTCCACAGGGATTAGCCTCACAAATGTTTTTAAAAGCCTTCAGAAGGTTAACAGATYGTAATGTTTCTGATGAATGCTGATTGTTTTGTTTGTTCTGTCTCTATCAGGGATGCCTGCAGCTTATGACCTCAGCACAGTCATTGGCAGTGGCCCCGCAGTGTCTCACAACAACCTCATTCCCTTAGGTACAAACCTCAGCATCTCATGTAGGGGAGGGTGGGTGTGTTTGCATTGGTGGCTCCTTTTTCTCTGTTTCACTGGCTGCAAACTGCAATGTTTGCTACAACAGAAAAGGCCGTCTCTCGTCAGTTTTGTATTAGTTTAATTTAAATTACTTTGAATRTAAAGAAAATTTATGTTTAAATACATTGTAATGAATGACTGTTGAAATTTGTTAAAAAACAAGGAAGTTATTAAAGTTAAAACCAGCTAAACAAAAGCTAAAATAAAAAGTGTGAAAAAACTTGACTCAGCAAAACTGTAGCTAAAATTAGCAAAATTGCAGCCAAAAGTAAAAAAAAATAAAAAAAAACTGCAAGGTGAAATGATCAGAACCGTTGCTGAAAACTAAATTCAGCACAGAACTGTGATCCCAAACACAGCAGCTGGTCTACAACCGATCGGCTCAAAAAAGAAAAGAACCGTTGGTCCAGAAGCTGAACCTGACTGCTGGGACCTTCAGAGAGCTGAGCAGAACCCTGAATGAGTTGAAGCAACAATGTAACAAGACTGGACCTCCTCCACAGTTGATAAAGTCCTGCAGAAAACCAGTGCTGAGAGTTGTTGGTTCTACAACAATCATGGTGTGCTTTAGTATTTTCACTCACTTCTTCTGAAGGTTGGTTTAGTTTAAAAGTGTGACATCGTTTAATAAGCTGCAGTCTGAGGGTGTTTTTAATTTGAGGCTTAGTAAGTAGATAGTTTTCAGAATGAAACGTCTTATAAATTAAAAAAGAGCTTCATTTCTGACCATGTTTATATAGTTGTTGTCATTAAGTGACTGTTTGTACTTCAGTGGACATCTTCAGCAGTCCACATATTTAATCCAGTGATGGCTGGTCTGCTTCATCACAAAGCCTCAGATTATATTCTAATCTACAAACCCGTCSTCCTCCGGCCTTGTGTTGACCCATCAAACAGCCTGTTTGTCTGCATGCAGAACAACTGTGTACAAAACTCTTTAACACCTGCTGAGAGGTGTGGCTGGGTATTTCAAGCTGAATCATAACATAAAGCTTTACAGTAACAGACAGAAGAAACTGAACAGATAGTCTCTTAAACTTTGTTTATTTTTATTTTAGTGATTTCTGAAAGCCACAATGCAGACTTATTAGTTCCAATTTAGTTTATTTAGATAGCCCCAATTCATAGCAAAACATGTGTAATAGCCATTTTTTTTTGTTTGTTTTGTTTTG